AATAAATGGAAAGGTATTATGTGCACAGCTATTGAAAGAATTAATAATGTTAAAATGTCCATACTACCCAAAGTGATCTACAGATTCAATGCAATACCTATCAAAATTCTAATGACATTTTTCACAGAAAGAGAACAAACAATCCTAAAATTTGTTGCAACCACAACAGACTTTGAATGGCCAAAACAATCTTACGAAGACCAAAGCTGGAAGCATTATGCCTTGAATTCCAAAAACAGGGTGGGGTAAAAGTAGGTTTACAGTTGCCCCACCTTGTATATTACACAGTTACAATAATGAAAACAGGGACATAGATCAGTGGAACAGAACAGACAGCCCAGAAGTTAACCCACACATTTATGGCCAATTAATTTATGACAATGGAACCAGGAATATATAATAGGGAAAGGACAGTCTCTTTAATAAATGATGTTAGGAAAACTGGACAGCCACATGCAAAATAATGAAACCGGACCACTATCTTATAACCCAAAATAGATTAAAGACTTGAACCTAAGATCTGAAACCATAACTTGACATCAGTCTTGGTGATGATTATTATTATTTTTTTTAATTTCACACCAAAAGCAAAGGCAATAACAGCAAAAACAAATGAGACTACATCAAATTAAAAAGCTTCTATGCAGCAAAGGAAACAATTAACAAAATGAAAAGGCAACCTATTAGATGGGAGGAAAGACTTACAAATCCCATATATGCTAATGGGTTAATATCCAAAGAACTCACACAATTCAATAGCAAAAAACCCAAACATTCTCATTAAAAAATGGGCAGGGGATCTGAATAGATGTGCTTTGATTTTTTTTCTGAAGAAAATGTACAGATGGCCAACAGGTACGTGAAAAGGGGCTCCATCTCATTAACCACCAGGGAAATGTAAAACCCTAGTGAGGTAGCACCTCACACCTGCTGGGATGGCCATCAAAAAGACAGGAAATAACAAGCAAGGACGTGGAGTAAAAAGAACCCTTTGCACTGTTTATGGGAATGTAAATTGGCGCAGCCACTATGGAAAAACAGAACCCTATGGCAGTCCTTCAAAAAATTAACAATAGAACTACCATATGCTCTAGCAATCCCATTTTTGAGCAGTTATCCAAAGAAAACGAAAACACAACCTCACAAAGATATAGGCACCCTGTGTTCGCTGCAGCATTATTTACCCAAGACATGGAAACAACATGTGTCCGCCAACGGATGAATGGATAAAGACACACACACACACACACACACACACACACACACACACACACACACACTAGAATATTGTTCAGCCATAGAAAGGAGAAAATTTTGCCATTTGAGACAAGATGGATGGAAGTTGAGGGCATTATGCTAAGTGAAGTAAGTCAGACAGAGAAAGGCTATTACCATAGGATATCACTTACATGTGGAATCTAAAAAGTACAGTAGTTGAGCTCGCAGATACAGAGAACAGCTTGCTGGTTGCCAAAGGTAGGGGGTTAGGGAGTGGGTGAAATGGGTCAAAGGCACAGCCTTGAGGATGTAATATGTAGCATGGTGACTACAGTTAATAATGCTGGACCGAGTATTGGAAAACAAAGAGAGTAGATATTAAAAGTTCTCACCACTCACAAAAAATCTTGTCAACACATATGGTGACAGGTGCTAACTAGACATATTGTGGTTATCATTTTGCAATATATATAAACATCGAATTATTATGTTGTACACCTGAAACTAATGCATGTTAATTACATCTCAGTTATATGTCAGTTTATATCTCAATAAAAAATTGCTGATCAATCCATGACTTTGAGTGGGGCAGGCCGACCAAAGCAGCACAGACTGATAACTGAGAGAATAACCAACAGTTGCTGCCTTGGATCTCTCACACACAAAATTAAACCCAACTCAGCCAGATGCCCACAGAAAGCAGGATTTAATGTACCTAAGGACCCAGCAAGAACAACTAACCATTGGTTTTGGGAGGGGATTAAAAGGTTATATTTTCTAATGTGAAATCAAATTAACCTAAGAGGGATTTTGAATTTATTATGTGTTTTTTAATTTTTTTGGTCATTTTTCTCAACCAAATAACAATGGCCAACAAAACTAATATTAGGTGGTAGGAGCTTTAAATGTTTTCATATGTAGCAGCAAACTTAACATAAAACTCAAATGTGAGCTTCCTAGCTGCCAGGGCAAAGAGGGAAAGAATATAGGGGACACAGCCCTTGTTATGCAATGACTTGGGGCATATCAGAACAAAGTAAAGAGAATTTCAGGATCCTTAGTCTGAAAGTCAGGTTGGAATGGGGTTCCTTATATAGAGGAGCATTCTAAATATAACAAATAAAATTTTCGGTGACAGTTTTTTTTTTTTTAAACCATAAATGTTCTGTGTAGAGAAATTTACATTTGACATGCTTCCAGTCCTCACTGAGGATATGCTAATTAAGCACACTCTGATGAAATCCGTTCTGAGGGGAAATAGCTCTTCGGTGATTTGTGTAAATTTAAGGATATGTTTGGGGAATCAGTTTTGAAGAATATTCTCAGGAGACGGTTCCTTCCTGTGTGCCAGCTGTACGATTCTGGATCGCTCGGCTTTGGCTCCCACCACGAGCCCCCACGTATCGCAAGATGCGTGTTTCCTTTCAAAAAAAATTTTTTTTATAGTAAAAGGTGGACATTTATTGAGAAACAAGCACAGACTCCCACGTGGGGAGGGGGAAGAGTCCCCGCTTCCTTTCAGTTGGAGGAAGGCAGGTTCCACACTCTCTTCAAATTCCCGTGGTCTCGTCTCCATGCCGATTAAGCCACAAGCACGTCATTTTATGAGTGCAGGTAACAACCCTGAAAAGCTCTTTTCTGGGTTGCCCTTGTCCTGGCTGTCAAAGGAGGGGAGCTGAGCACACATTTAGGGGCCTCCCTGTTCTTTGGCTTCCAGAGCCAACGGCCCCCTCTCAGCCAGGGGCTGTGAAAAGGGGTCTGTGAGCCGCACTCGGTCCTCAGACGTGTTTGGTTTGGCCCACGGTTTACATGGAGTTTTGCCAACATTTTTTAAATCAGCAAATTTCAGCAAAAAATTCAGAGCAGAAATATCTGAAGGCTGGCAACCCTTAACACAAACCGGCTATAATTAAAGTAGTTCTCACTTAACGAACGCCGTTGACAGGTTCTGCAACGGTAAGGGAAATAATGTGTCATGCAACCAATTCTACCACAGGCTGATCGATATAAACAGAGTTATGCTCCCATGGCAGCTCACCAAGGTTTTATTTATTTATTTTTTACTTATTTATTTTTAATATGTTTTATTGATTTTTTACAGAGAGAAAGAGAGAGGGATAGAGAGCTAGAAACATTGATAAGAGAGAAACACCGACCAGCTGCCTCCTGCACACCCCCTACCGGGGATGTGCCCGCAACCAAGGCACATACCCTTGACCGGAATTGAACCTGGGACCCTTCAGTCCGAAGACCGACGCTCTATCCACTGAGCCAAACCGGTTTTGGCATCACCAAGGTTTTAATGAAACGACACAAAATGAGACAATGCTATTCCAGGACCCGCTGCTTCTGGACTTGAGGGGCAAGTGCCCCCTGTCCTGCTGCCTCCATCTACATCCAGGTCCCCCCAACACCTGCGTGGTGGTCCTTGGTGTTACACACACACACACACACACACACACACACACACACCAAGGAGCTACATGGTCATGTGTGCGAGATCCAGGCCTTCCCCGCGCTCTCAGCAGAACCCACATTCTGGGGGACCCCGCTGTGGAATGAGTCTGCAAGAAGACACACCTCGCCAGCTCGCTCCCCAGCCCAACTGGTCCCCGCAGCCACGCCCTGGAACTGGCGGAAGCTGTGACCTGAGCCGAGGGAGGCATGGTCTTCGCTCATGCCACTCCCGCCCAGCCATCGCCTGCTCCCTGGCACACGGCTTCCTGAGGTTGCCATATGCACGCCGCAGGATCTGATTTCACAATGGCCTCGGCTAAGGAGCCAAGGGGGGGAGTATTTATTATTCATTAAAGCAAACCGAATTAACTGAGCCGGGAGGATTGTGCAAGGGTGCGGAGGTGAGTGACTGTGATTGTGTCTCTGCCTCAGGCAATGGGCCTGGGAGGTGAGCCTTCAGATCCCACCACAGTACGTCCTCCAAGGTCCCCGGGAGGCCTTGCTCCTCTCACCAGGATGCCACACGGGGAGGGCAGACAGCCAACGGTGGGCCAACAGTCCCTCGCGTGCCGACTTCTGGGCCGTTCCACAGCAGCCACACAACCCCCACACACACTCCTCCCCACTCTTCACACCCGCATCAGCCCCGTTCCCTAGCCCACGGTTCTTCTGGAACCTTCTTCCAGGCTAATGGTCTAAAGCAGTGGTCGGCAAACTCATTCATCAACAGAGCCAAATATCAACAGGACAACGATGGAAATGTCTTTGGAGGGCCAATTTTTTTAAAACTTAAACTTCTTCTAACGCCACTTCTTCAACATAGACTTGCCCAGGCCGTGGCATTTTGTGGAAGAGCCACACTCAAGGGGCCAAAGAGCCGCATGTGGCTGGCGAGCCGCAGTTTGCCGACCATGGGCCTAAAGTTAACACATCAGTCTCGGATGGCTTTAGCAACATCATTATCGGATGGACGGAGACCACAAACATGCACGGGTACTTCTAGCTTCCCTCTGTACTCTATTCTGTGCTCTATCTCATGTGTTAAGTGCATCCTCCCTCCCTCCCCTTCACCCCCCTCGCTTTCTTTCAGTTCAAAATCCTTTGAAAAGGTCACTTTCTATCACTACTATGGGCAGAGCAATCTAACACATAGAGAAATAAATGCACAACTTTCCAATGAGAAGGAAGTTGTCCACGCCTTAGCCAAGGCCATCTGGGGTGGCCCCTCGGTGCAGGGGCACCACGGAGAGACACGCTCCGAGGCCAGGCCGCCGGCCACGCCGTGAGGCCCGCCCGCCCGGCCCCCCGCCGCCCCAGGCCCTCACCTGTCCGGTAGCCCGTGCTGTTGAGGTACACGGCGAAGGTGCGGCTCTCGTGCTGCGCCTGCCAGGAGGGCGAGGAGCAGTTCTCGTTGTTGGTGTAGGTGTTGTGGTTGTGCACGTACTTGCCGGTGAGGATGGAGGACCGCGAGGGGCAGCACATGGGCGTGGTGACGAAGGCGTTGACGAAGTGCGCGCCGCCCTGCTCCATGATGCGCCGCGTCTTGTTCATCACCTGCATGGAGCCTGCAAGCAGAGCGGGAGGTGAGGCGCCGCCCGGGGTCCTCGCTCAGGCCCCCGGGAGGGCACGAGACAATCAGGGGCGCTCAGCCGGAGGGCACCCCCTTCCCGGGGAGGGGAGTGCGTTTTGGAAACCTCCCGGGACGGATGGGTGCACCTGGCACGTGGGGGCTGCGGCCACAGGGCACCGCGGGATGGACCTTCCCCAGGAGGAGGCACCCTGGTCCCCAGTCCTCCTGGGCGTTACGAGGGGCAGGTAACAACCTGTGTGTAAGTTACCTGAGTCTAGAATGGAACTCTGACACAGAAACAGGAGATTTTTTTTCCCCCCAGGGTATTCATATACACGGATTAAAAAAAACTTTTTTTTTTGGAAGCAACTATTATATAAACGGAGGGAAGACTACACTTTGCTTTGTTTGGGACCTTCCCAAGAATTGTCTGCTCTTCCTGAAACCCGGTCACGCCGCCCCCCTGGCTCACCTCTGAACGCTTCTCAGCCGGAATGCTGGGCACCAGCCACCTCCCCCCGGAGCTAAGCCATCAGCGGAGCCTCTTTAGTGCCCTCTGGACTCGCTCTGGTTTCCGATCCCCTCGAGCTCTCATTACACGTGTGGCGTGTGTTATTAAGGCTTAATTACACAGCGCCGGGCGCAGCGGCTCCCGTCATGCCTCTTCTTGCTTCCCAGGGAGGCTCTCCGCGGACTCGGGCACGCAGGGAGAGAGGGAAACTGCGAGTGTGGGCACCTTTCGCATTCCCCGAGATGCCCTGCTCAGGGCTGACGCCTCAGCGCCCCCACAGCGTGTGCCAGCCCCGCGGTGCTCAGTCAGTGCGGGAAGAGGGGGTGCATACTGTACCCCATGGCGGGTACCCCATCACTCCGCAGCTTTCACGGAGACGGCGGGATTTCTCTTCCTAGGGCCATCGCCGTTCTTTTCCTTTTGCCTGCTGTCCTTAGGGTCCGCCGGACTGCACGACGGCACGCTCTCTAATTCGCACCCACGTCCTAAGCCCTGAAACCTGTGAATGGGACCTAATTTGGGGAAAGGGTCTTTGCAGACCCCATAAGGACCTGGAGGTGTAACCGTCCTGGATTACCCGGGTGGGCCCTCATTCCAATGACAAGCGTCCTTACAAGAGGCAGGAGCAGGAAGATGCAGACAGAGAGCTGAGGGCCCCGTGAAGATGGAGGCAGGAGCAGAGGGACACGCATCTACAGGCCACGGATGTCTGGAGCCTCCAGACGCCGAAAGAGCCGGGAAGGACCCTTCCCCGGAGCCTTCGGAGGAACAGCCCTGCTGGCAGCCTCCCTGCTAACGTCTGTCTCCAGAACTGAGAGAGTCCGCTTTTGTTGTGTTAAGCCACCCAGTTTGTGAAAAGTCTGTGAGGACAGCAGCAGGAACGCAATAGAGCATCTACCGGGCATTTGCGGCTCTGGCTGGGGAGCTGCTGGTCCCAGTCACCGAGAATTCCCTAGAGGCCTGACCACCACCAGCCAGACCCCTCAGCGCTCTGTCCCTACAAGCTGAGAATGAAAAGGAGATCTGCATAGCTCTCACCCGCTTTTCTGCCAAACACAGAAAGAAACGGAGCCGGAGATTCCCTGACGCAAACACAGACCCTATGTCTGCACGCTTAAAACATCCAATAATTTCTCATTGCACACACAAAAAAAAGCCAATTTCTGCCTGTGTCCTAAGACTCTTCGAGACCTGTCCTCCCCCTGCCCCCTCAACCCACTTTCAGTGTTTGTCTGACCTCATTTCCTCCTCCTCTTTGCTCAGCTGGCTGCACTGGCCTCCTCACTGCTTCTCACATGCTCCAGCTCATCTCTGCCCCAGGACCTTTGCACTTGCCATCGCTTCTGCCTGAGACTTTTTCTGAGATTTCACTTTGGTCGGTTTGTCCCCCATTATTCAGAGCTCAGCTTAGAGGCCACCTCCGCATCCAAGTCACCTCGTCCCCATCTGAAGGAGCCCCACGCTGCTGACTTCCTGCCACACCAGTGGACAGGTCCTCTTAGCATCTACCTCCTGCTGAAATGGTGTTTTCCTGGTTTGCTTGGTTATGATCTGCCTCCTCCCCTGGGCTGAGAGTTCTAGGGGATCCAGTTGCTGACTACTCCTCCCTCCCCCCTGCCCCTGCAGGCATATATCACTGGTGCTCTGTAAAACTCCCGGGATGACAGGAAAACAGCAGTGCCTGCCCTTTCACGCCCGGTGCATAGGCGGTTTAATAAGGGACACCCTCCCGGAGCCAGGTGTGCTTCCCAAGCCTCTGGGCCAAGGTTGCTCCCGGAGGGGGGAGGAAAGGACCGGCTCTGTGTCTGAACAGGAGCCGTCAGGCCCAGGACTGTAAGCATCTGTATCGAGGTCACATGCCCTTGTAGGAAGTCCCCAGGGGTCGCAGCTGCAACAGGTGGGCAATAATAGGCTTTCCACCAGGTGTGATGTTTTCCTCTGCAGGGGGTGCAGGGGGTGAGCTGAGGCCCCCCTCAACCAGCTGGTGCTCACTGGCTGAAACAGATGGAGCGACGGAGCATGGTGATCTCAGAGTCCCTGTCTCAGGGTCTGGCAGAGCCCTGGGGCCTCACCAGCCCCAGGCCGCCTTCTGCTGGCCAATCCGTTCCTTCCACCTTGGAGTTTTACCACAAACGAAGATATCAAGGCCATGCCCTAGAAGCCAAGCTTGAGTATCGGCTACATTCACACCTCATGGCTTTTGCCAGAGAAGTGCCCTCCACCTGGAAACTCCCTCCTGGCCTCCCTCAGGGGACTGGCCAAACACCAGGCATCCCAGAGGCCTTCCCTGAACCGAAAGCCATTTCCTTGTTTGCATACTGCCAGTGGCTTCCACGGGAGCAGCTCCATGGGGGCGGGATTTGGGCCTGTTCTGCATGGTGTGGCTCAGTTGGTTGAGCATAGTCCCAAGCCGGTTCAACTCAGGGCACACGCCTGGGTTGTGGGCTTGATCCCCAGTAGGGGGCGTGCAGGAGGCAGCTGATCTATGTTTCTCTCAACGATCATTCTCTCCCTCTCCCTTCCTCTCTCTCTAAAATCAATTAGGAAAAAAACAAAACCCAAAAAACTAAACAAAAAGGGCCTACTTTGTTCACTGTCATATTCCCAAGCCTAGCACAGTGCCTGGCACATAATGGATGCTCCATAGATATCAGCTAAAATAACCAAAAAGTCATCTTACTCTTTGGGTTTCCTTATAACCCAGGAGCCCACGCTAGTGTGTGTCCGGGGATGCCCTGTGCATGTGGGTGCTGGGCAGTGGGTTTAAAACATTTCATTTTCAATAGTACCGAACAGATCATATGCCCTCTGGTTGGCCGCACTCCCCAGCACTCCCTGTAGCCTCATACACATTAACCTGCCTGGTGCCTGGAGGCCTTGGTTTTGCAATTCCTAATGTAAGTAACGTAGCTGTTGATCAGCTCCAACCTGTTTGTGGGGGAGAGGGCAGTGTCTATGCCAACAGACACCATGCTTATTGTTAATGAGGTGTCACTGGCAGAAAGTTGGTTGTGTACGTTGTGCTGGGCACATGGCATACATGGTCTAACTGAACCCTCCCGGCAGCCCGCTTACCGGAAGAAGGGTCGGGGTGCAGGGAGATTTAAATGTCCAGTAGAGGCTGCAGAGCTGGGGGAGTGGATGTGAGGACTGAGACCCGGGCTTGTCTGAGGGGAGAGATGGGTGCTGGGTGTCGCATGAGGAAACATTCGGTGATGTCCCGTGGGAGGTGGTGACACTGTATAAGGAAATGCACAGAGGTCTCCGTGCACTTGGACAACGCTTGGGGGGAGCAAGGCCCAGAACAGTCCCTGGACTGTAGGCACATCCGGCCTCCTGGTCATCCCAGAGGTGAGCGCGGCTGGCACAGCGGGCGTGAGAGGGGCACAGGGTCCCAGCACCAGCCGCGGGGACGCCCGTGCGGGGAGTGGCTCCTCTCACTCCCGGGGAACTCCAGGGGAGTCTCCGTACCCTGCGCCTTCTGCTCTGACAGGGGGGATGGCCCCTGCGCGGAGCTCCAGGGCAGCAGAATTAGCTGACACTGGATCACGTGTTCTACTTTCCTTCCATTTGGGGTAAGGAAAGCAAGCTTCTTTCGCTTAGGGCTGTGGGATCCTGTTCTATGTTTTAAAAAATTTAAAAATAGGTAAATAAGAGTACAGGTGGCATATCGATTTGGCAAGGGGCTGGCGGTGTGTGGCACGCACCAGCTGGGTGCAGCCCAGAACGGTCTACCCGCTGAGGCCACCTCGAAGACGTGCTCATGGACACCTTGGGGGCCACACTCCCAACGCTGAGCTCCCACTGCCCGCTCCCTCACGGCTCCTCCGGCAGCCCCTCCCTCTGCCTCTGGTTACTTAGGAAACAATCGTGACTACCCCATGGCCCCGTCTTTCCATCCCCACATCCCCACAACGCCTGCTGTGCTTCAAGGTCTATCCACAGCAGAGCCCCGTGGCTCCTCGCTGGGATGGAGCGCACCCTCTTTCCTCTGGATTAGGTCAACTGCTTCCTGACTGGCCGCTGTTCATTCCCTATGGAGCCGCCAGAGTGCCTGCCTCCCTGTCCCCCCCCCCCCCCCCCCCCCAGCATCCTCCATCGCTCCCACTCACCGAGAACAGAGTCCCCACGGCCAGCCACAGGGCCTGCGGGACCCAGCGCCCGCCCCAGAGCCTGCCCCACCCCGCCCAGCCTATTCTGCAGCCAGGCTCACGCCCGCCCGGAGCCTTTGCCATGCTGTTCCTCCTGCCCGGTTCCCCCTCAGCCTGTGCCCTCACCCTGCTTGTCTCCACTCGGAAGTTCTCTTCTCTGCGAGGCCTTCCCTGCCCCCCCACACCCACAACTGTAGCCGCTGCCCGCGTATTTCATATCCTCTTCCTTGTTTCACATCTTCAACTCTGACCCGTTATCCTTCCTCCTACAGCCCCAGAGGCCAGGGCTTGGAGGGCTGCAGATCCCCACTGTGCCCCCCAGCCCCGCCTGGT